TTAAGGGATCTCAGTCTAAATTGATTTATATAATTTCTTTTTGTAATAGTTGGTCTATATGAGTTTAAGTAGTGCAGTACTATTACAACTGCATTATCAATTAGGCTTAAAAGCTGGTATTTTAAACAGCTTATTATATATGTCACAAGTCATTTCCTTTCACTTTGGCCTTCCTCAGTCTGCTTCACTAGAATTACTCCACTTTTATTGTGTTGGAAGTGACTTCAGGATAAAGCCCTTAAAGTAGCAAGGGTAATGCTCACAGCTTCATTGGTTTAAAAATCCACCCAGCAAAAACTGTAGCTACTATTAAAACCATGAAGTCGGACTTATTTTTAAGTCAGACTTTTGAATACATTTGAGTTGCAAGCAGACATCTCATACCAAACAGATAATATTGGATTTTATGTGAAGACTGCACCAGATAAGAATAGTTTTAACTTATTTAAAAGGAAAAGTGTGGGGTATGTGAAGCATAACAAGTTTGAGCTCACAAGGAATTTATAATTATTAAAACATGAGAATGCACATTAATTACATTTAAGGAAAAATCTTTAACCTTTTGTTCACACAAAGATGTTCCTGGCTTATTTTTTAAAATTTCAGTTCAGTGAATTTTGAATTTTGGATGAAGCAGTAGCTTATTTCTGATCATTCCTAGTCAGTCTCATCATCACTATCCGATCTTAGCAACAGACTCATCCATGGAAAAAAACAATTCATTAATTTAACAACCTCATGTTAAAACCTGTGACTTTCTTGCTCAGATCCCACTTTTTAATCACTCATCAATTCCCCACGTGTCAATTGGGAACACCATGACTCCACCTAGTTTACATCAGGACACAGGATTTATAGCCCTTAGAAAAGTCAACTTCTAACAGTTGATACTTTCAAGCTTTTTTTATTGTACAGTAATAGCAGAAATAAGTATTCCTTTATTAGTTTTATTTAGTTTTAAGTTATAAAATATTTTTATCTGCTCCAATAAAATGTTATTATAAACAAAGCAGGTATGAAGTGGGGAGAAAAGCCTTTGCTTTAATACTTAAATATGTAACTATGTATAGCCTGGAGGAGGTTTATTGGCTCCTTAAGGCATGTAAAGAATTTAGTACCTTTAAAATATTAGAAATTACTCTTATTTATGAAGGTTAAAATAGGCTAGTCATAACTGAGGCCAGATCCTGTTTTCATGAACTAATGACTCGTTTGAGAACCAGCCAAGTGTGTTGCAAAGTGACTTAGTACAGATGCATGTTACATGGTTTATGGAATTCCTCAATGCCTTGTGTTGTCCTACTTTTTAAATGCATGGGCATGGGGTTTTTTTCCCTAACTGTGATTGGAAGATCATACGTAATTTGATTTTGGGCAGGAGTAAGAATTTGTTTGCTGGTATTTTGTTTGTTTGTTCTTTAAGGACTCTCACTAAGTATGAAATACTATGTCCTACTTCACAATCGTGGAGATGCTTTGGTTTCTTTGGATTCTTTCATTTCCCTTGGTAAAACTTTCTGGTTTATGACTTGCATCTCCAGCCATGGCTGAGTCTCATTTGTGCTCTGTTACCACCTTCTACTTCCAATACACTTTCCTGAGTTGCTGTGGGCTGTACCAAAGTGCTGCCTGGAAATGAGCTGCAGAGCTCCATGCTGTCCACAAGCACCACTCCAGCACTGGCTGAGGGATGATTTTACTGAAGCAGTGATGCAGAACACAACTGTTTACTTCTCAAGTCCTACCCATTCTGACTGTGGATAAGGACTTTTTCCTTCACACATTTCTCCATAAAGCCAGGTGACAGACATCATTTATGCAGAGAGTTGAAAGGCCTTGATTGATTACCAATTAGAGGAAAATCCTGCAAGCATGAATTCATTAGAGAAGGCAGATGAGGAATGCTGCTCTTGTCATGAACTGGAAGAGAACCAAGAATGTAATGAACTAAGCAATGACAAAGTCACCTCTGAATTTTATTTGCATAGCAGAGAAAGGCCTTGAGTTTTTTACCTGACAGGTAGCAACAAAATATCAAAACACTGGACAGTACCCTTTATCAGGACATTTTCTTCACATTTATAGGTTTTATGCAGCTCCTGTTTTAGCTGCTGGGGAAGAGTACCCTTTGAACACAAGAGTGGATGATCTCAAGGCTGATCTAGTGTGACATTGCATAGTTTCTATGTCTTAAAACTGCTGAGCTCTAATTTGGCTTAGAAATTATAAAAAAAAAATAATAGGGTGGTTAGAGCCCAGATCAAGAAAGATTTATATATAATTGAAGGTTCTACTTTACTATTAAATAATTCTATAATTTTGTTCTTTGTTATCCTTTTTCTTGCACTTCTGATCAAGCAGAACATGCTAAAACTGAATATAAACTAGATCTGGTCACTGTGTGGGCTGAAATCAGAGCATCCTTTTAGCCAAGATCCATAGAAAAGGAAGTTGGTGTTGAATAATGTGCATCAGAGTGCAACAGGTCAATGTAATTACACATCTCCTCCCCACAGTGCCCTGTTTCACACATGGGAATTCCCATCCTAGAGCAACCTCAGCTTCTGCTCTTCCAATTGCAATACAGACAGAAATACTGGAAGAAACCCATATCTCTCAATATCCTTTCAATTTGTGCTAAGGAAAGGAATATAAATTATTTATTATGATATTATTTATTTACTATTTATATTTTCTACAGAAATACATATATATATATGCATACAGAAATATATACCTATATGTATATAACCTTTTTCTATTTCTCTGCTCTTTTACTGTCTTGCTTTGTTGATTAGTGTTTGACCATAACCAGGATTGCTAAGAAGTGACATTAATTGTAATTAATTGCATTTATTCTAAGCTATAACTTGACATTATCAACATTATTGATTACACCCGTGTCTCTACAAAATATGTAACAGGAAAAATACACATTCCCTTCCTACCATTGAAAAAGCTGAGGAGAACTAACCCTTCTCAGTCATATCCACAGGAAAAGCTCTTCAGAAAAAAATACAAGCAGTCTTTGTGCTGATGTTGAAATGTGTTGTTAAATGCCAAGAGCTACTAAAACAATTTTAAGATATGATACAGCTTCCTAATCAGGAAGTAACCATTATTTTATACACTGAAATACTACATTTCAAGGATATAGTCACTATTTAGTAACTCTCTGCATCTGCTGTAAAATTTGTATTCAGATTTCATTTAAGCAAAGACCAGATACAAAATTTAGCTCCTTTAGAGTCACATGTTTTACCATAGCTTTTAAACATTTTCATATTGTGCATAAACCAGTTTTAAAATACTCTGGAAACTCTTACAGATATTAATGTACTCAAAAATAGAAATTAGTCAGTGAAGCAAGCGTATAGTTATTCTAAAAAATAACTTCTGGGTCCCTACTGCATTATTTCCTTTTTTCAAAATAAGATGTATTTACAAATTATTAAATATTTGCCCAATATCCATAGTTTAATTTTTTCTTACAACAGTATAAAAAGGCTGAAAATAGGAAAATTTTTCACCACTTTAGTTTGAAAGCAAAATGTAGATAGAATTCCATGCACTTACAAATACATCCAAGTGTGCCAGCCTGCAGCCAGTCAGAAAAAGCAAGTAGCAAATGTGACATTTCTGTACAAACAATATTTATTATTGAGCAGAATCCTTAAATTGCTCCATTTAAGCCCTTCAGAGTTAGAGAACAGGGTGTGCAAAAAGGATTCCCATGATCACTCCAGCTACCACACTAGTAAAAACTCTAGAAATGGGAGGAGAAAAACAGCTGGAGCAAGGCCTTCAAACAGTTCAAATGGTTATAGTAGCAATAAAAGAGTTGATGACTTACTGGTATCAATTAGTCAGCCTGTAAGTATTTTCTCACAGGAATTAAGATGTTTGTGTAGACAAAGCAAATGACCCTGAATGTCCTGAACTTGTGCATCATTTCATGTTTCTGGTTAATTTTATCGTACTGAAGTTTCAAGATAGGATGGAATCCTTAATTTTTATTTTGCTTCATATAAAACATCTTGGAGTGCTTTTGACTCCTCCCAGTGTCCATTACACCTGTAATAATTTGGTCTAGTGTTTGGTTTGATTAGGCATACGTTTCCTAATTACATTCCTGAGAAGCATCATGGGGATGAAGGGTGAATTGAGGAATTCTGTAACTGTGTTGAGAGTGGCAAAATATTATTACCTTTAAACTCTGAATGTGCTGGCAGTTCTTTGGCTTTAGAAAACATTTCAAGGGAGTTTGCTACAGGCAATTCAGTAGAATCATCTGGCAAAAAGCAGTTCCTTAACTAGTAAGCAAGGCCTGCATCCAGGAAGTTCCCTGGAGCTGGAGGCTTCAGCTGCATCTTTCTGTCTATTCAACTTTAAACCTTGAAAACTCCCTGAAGTTCCAGTCCTCCATTTCTAGACCCTGACAAGAAATTGCTTGTTATTAGTCTGGTTGTATTTTAATGGTGACTTTCAGCAAAGAAAGTTATGCTGTGGTAACCAACCAGCTAAAGCACACAAAAAATAGCTTATGTTTCCTTTTTTTTCCTTGTGTCTCATTCTTTATAAGTGTCATCTCAAAGATAAAAATTAAATTAAAAATAATTAATAACGAATCTTTTTTGTATGAAAGAGTTAAAACATGATGGAACTACAGCTCCTTTTCATAGGATTTCTATTCAACATAGTTTTGGGTCAATTCAGGTGCTGGAAATCAGTACAACTCCTAGATTTTCACTGAAATTATGCCAAGTTATACCACTTCAGAATCAGCTGAGTTTAGCAATCCCTATTCTATTAAAAAAAACCCAAACCCTTTTATTGATGTTTCATATAAATGTAAACGTTCCATTGTTTACAAATGTTTTAGAAGAAATAAACATTCTTTCCTTTGACAATTAAACAAATAATTTACAAGAACTTCTGTAGGAGAATCATTGTAAGAAATCTTAAGAAAATATTAATTAGATTGCTAAGAAGTTTGCAGCTCTTGATTTGTCCAGAGTTTGCATCCAGGTAACGGCTAATAAAAATATTCCCTGTTTGAAAACTGAGATCACCTGTGGACAGACAAATCCTTTGAAGTGTCTTCAATCCTCTGTGACCTTGAGTGATTTGCTTGAAATCCCAAGCTGTTCTTCAGTTGGACTGAGGTTCATTTCGAAAATGCATCGCCGAAGGTTCAAAAAACTGGAACAAAAGTTTAGAGAGTTTTAAGCTGAGGGTTGTTAACTGTTAGCAACAACTGGGTTAACCCACAAACCCATGGGATTTCTAACTCTCTCAGCAGACTCAAAATAGAACTGCACTACAAGGAGAATCCTCTTAGAATTTGATGCTCATTACCTGGATCATCAAAGCTCAGTTGTTAAGTATGTATGGCAATGACTGTTCCTCCTAACCTTTATTTTTCCAGTGTTTAAACTGAAAAATGACGTAAAGATATGCACTACAAGCTTTATAATACCAATGTACTGAAGCTAAATACTTTTCCTGCTCTTGTTTCTTTCTCTGCTCTTTTTTCTTCACACCTGACATCATTACCATCTTCAGCTTATTATATAACTCATCTCCTGCCATCCTGCTATGTTCTCTGCATCCAAATAATATCCAGGACTCAGCAACTTTGGTCCATTCAGTGACTTTGTATCTTCCTGTGCTCCCAAATATAAAAGCTGCCTCTGCTTCTTTTTCTGGATTTATCATCAAAATTTTAACATCATCTCCTAATCTAGTTTGATTCACTCCATTATACTTTTTTTAAATTACATGAGAAACTGTAATATAATGTTACATATAAAAATTAAGATAGATAAATTTAGAAATAAGGTGCATAAGATGATGTGGCAGTGGCATATGCATTGTGAGTTATGTGGCAAAGGTAATACTTGCAGCTCTCTAGAAGGGGACTCCTTGCACTCTAAATCAAGAAAATTTTAAAATAAACTAAGTGTGCAATTCATCTACCAAGGTCACTGTCATAAATTAGTATTCAGCTCAATGACTTAGGAAGATTTAAAACAGAAAACAAAGCCAAAATATGCTATATGACAAAATAAAAAGCTAGAATATCTTTTTCCTCATTTGCCAGAAAGGTTTGCTCTTCTTTCAAGAACTTTTCCATTTGTCTAATTTAGACAAATGTGTCTTTTTCATTACTGTTTAGAGCTTCTTGTGGATGGCAGATATTTTGTTCCCTACAGAACAATATGAACCATAGAAATGTGCCTGTTCCATCCCCCATGTGTAAATCATGGGGATGCTACATCCTCAAACCTTCCACCTAATTTAATTTACCTTACATAGAGAGGGAGTAAGTCCTCTTTAGAGTAACTCTGATGCTTTATTTTTTTCATAGTATAAATAGCACAGTGATATCACTATAATTAGCACCTATCTGCATTAACTTATAAAACCTTTTGAGAGAAAAAGGGGCTTATCTTACAAGTATCTTACAGCATTTTCTGTGGGCTAAAAACTAGCATCAGTTATTTTGTACATTTTGTAGTCCTTTGGTTATATTAGGTTCTACCAATATACAGTCTAACCAAATGCAGACAGAGAACTTTGCTAGTTTAATTTCTTTGTTTTGACCAGTACAATTGTTTGCTCTGCAATGCTATTGCTACTCTCCAGTGCAAACCCATTACCACTGAAATATCTTATGTATCAAGTTGCACAGTGGATGACTGCTATCAAATGTTTTCCCACTTGTTTCAATAGATAATCGAACCCTTTATTTAAATATTAATGCCAGAAGATGAATGTTATCCCCATCCATGTAAAGAAACATTCAGGTGAATTACTTAATTTTAAGCTGGATTTTTTTCTTTTTTTTTTTCTTCAGAGAATAGTGCTGTTTTGATTTAAAATCTAGAAAATAGTTAATCTTTTAATGAAAGTTTGCTACTGAGCTTCCTAGTTTGCAAAGCTTGACTTGCTGCAGTATGTATGGAAGTACAAATACAGAGTTCAGTTTAAGATACTTTTGCTCTCTGTCCAGTCCTGGCTGCCCTCCCTGTGAGGGTGCTGAGGCCCTGGCACAGGTTACTCAGAGAAGCTGTGGATGCTTCATCCCTGAAAGTTTTCAGGATCAGATTGTACTGAACTTGGAGCAAGTGGAAAGTGTCCCTGCCATGGGAGGGATGTGGAATTCTGTGCTCTTCAAGCTCCCCTCCAATCCAAACCAGTCTATGATGGTAGCATTTAAATGTTTAAAGGTGTGCATTTTATTAAAAACACCTTCTTCTTTATACAAACTTCCAAATCAAAAAATGTCTGTGTAATTTCCATACTCTTAGTTTACATGTATAGTAAGAGAAAAGGTGATTAACCTGAAGAGAAAATTATTAATGGCAGGGGAAGAAAAAGTTTTCCAAGGAGCACTTTGAAAAATAGTCAGTTCCCAAAGTTCTCATAAATCTTATGAGATACCACACACAAAAATGACTTTTTCATTTCTGTAACACATTATCTAAGCTAAAGAAAATTGCTTAGTAGTGTATTGAACCAAACAGCTTAGAAAAGAGCTCCTCATTTCATGCAACTCTGTGTCATTACACTAACAAGGCTGCTCCTTCCAGCTGAGGCTCTGAATCCAGAACATGAAGTAAAAAACTCTTCTTGCTCCTCTTTCAAAGCCAAAGGCAGAGCCTGGCCAGAAAATAATGATAGGAGTTGAAAATGACCTTTGATTCCAGTGCTAATAACCTGCTTTTACAAACAGGGTCACAAAATGCCTGATCTGTGTACCTCCAAAAACAGTAGGCAGCTGTTTGGTTTTAGCACATGAATTGGTGAATGATCTTTGTGCTCAGAATGGTGTACTGGAAAGTTGTTTATTTCAATAAATTAATTAGATTTTTTCCTCTTTCTGTTTTTTAAACAAAAGTCCCATGAACTCAAAAAAGTACCTTAAAAAAGCTAATATACCTGAAATAATGCACAAAATGCACTTTTAAAATTGAATAAACTGAATAATACTGTAGCACCATTAAATCTGTTAGGCCTGAGGGAGCCAAAGATTAAGTTTAACTGCCCTTGAAGCACTGCATGCTTTGTTCACCCAACTTTTGTATCTCCTCTCTTTGGAATTAAAAGCTTACATATTTTTAATACATTTTTAAAGCAAAAAGAATCCTGGTTGTTGAAAGTAACAACTGGTGATACAACATTTGAATTAGAAACCTAGCAGTGTGTATCACAATTATTATTAGTTATAACTGAGTACACAAATGAAGAAATGTAATTTAGGAAGAAGAGTTTGGTCAAAATTTACAGAATTATTTAAATTCTTCATAATTCAAAACAACCCAGCTGTCAATACTGTTCTCTTTTCTAAGTCTTGCTGCTGGATTTCTGTTATTCTGTAAGGCTACTACAGAACATAATTTCTGAGCTTCTGAGCATGTTTGTGATCTTGCAGAGTAGCATTTAAAAATATTTATAGTCAGCACTTAGTCCTAGATTTGGAAGAATTGTAAAAGCCTGGTTCTAATGTTATTATTAATATACAAGGTTTAGTGTAAATATTTCATCAGCACCAAGGGAAATGGCAAGTATGTTCCAAATATTTCCAGATCCAGAATGTGAATGGTTTAATCACTGGAGTCTTGGCAAGCTGAAGAGCTGGCCTTTAAACAGAAGTTGTCATGATCAGACATGAGCTTTTTCAATAGCTCCCTTCTCTGACTGAGATAAGTAATTTGCACACATAGTCAATATTTTAAGAGCAGGATCAGTAACTCTGGCACAAATGCTAAATTTAGCACTGGGCAGGGCTGGAGTGGCCAGGAGCTGGCAGCTGTGACCTCTTGAGAGACATCTGCAGGAACATTTTTGTGAGAGACAGTGTCTCCTACCTTCCTGCCCTCACAATTCCAGTGTGCTTGGCAGCACATTCCATCTCTGAGAGACAGCATTTTCCAGATCATATTGGTAGCAGAAATCAGAGTCTGCTGGAGCAGCAGCCTTCTAGCAGAGGTGAGGTGCCACCAATCAGCTGATCAGCACTGTCTCGTTTCTTTGAACTGCAGAGTCTCTTGGCTGCCCACAAGATTTCCCTCAGCCTGCTTTACCTTTAATCTAGGAAACAAAGGTACAGCCTGATCCTAACTCACACCAGATTTCCAGCCTCTGTTTTTATTGATGTAGGGACTTTGTGCATTTGGTGCTATCTAAATACCATCATTATCTCTCTAGCTGTCCTAAATAAACTAAATGTACCAATCAAATTGACTGCAATGTACAGTGAGATCCAAAACTCTACAGCAACGAGGCAAATGAATATATTTTTTATCAAAGAAATAGGACACCATTAACTTTATTTAGGCAAAAAAGGAGAGAAAATAGAGATTTAAAGCATTAAAGGCTTAAAGTTTAATGACTGATTACTGAGTGATTATTCTAGACATTCTCAGTTTGCAGGGCACATGTCTCTTCTGGACCCTATGGATATATAAAGGTGTATCACTCTTAGCCTGACTCAAACAAACTTAAGAAAAGATTTTTCAGCCTTATTTTCATAAGGCAGTATGATTTATATGAAAAAAACAGGAAAAATGTATTGACATGTACAAAACTAGGGACTCTTGATTCACAAATTTTATACTGCCGTTATTAATATTTTATACTAGATAACAAACTTTTTTGGGAAATTTATGGTATTAGCTCCCTGAGAAAACCTTGGGATATTAAAGTTCTTATCTCTTTCACTTCATGGCTTCAACAGATATTTCTACCATTCCTTACAACAGGTTAAGAAATAGAAGATTTAAGATCAGTTTGTTTGCTGAGAATGTCATCCTGTGCTGTCTTACAGAGCATTTTCTGCTCAGTGCAGCAGGAGTTAGAGAGAAGTGTTTACATTTCCCCTCCTCAAACAGCCTTTCTGCATTGTACTGAGTGCTACAGATTATTTTTTTGGAGAAAACATTCTAGTATTTCTCAGAAAGGACTGATGAACTGAGTTGCAACAGTAAATGAACAACTGAAATAATGCTGGCCAAGTAAACATATTACATATTATAGATGAGTATTCAGAAAATTTACTACTCACTTCCATAGTGTCTTTTGAAAGATAAACAACCCAGTACACCAGGTTGAATCCTGCAAATGCCACTGGAAAGAGGATCCTGGAATACTGGTCTATTTTACTTGCACCTCCAATAGCTGGTGGCTGTGGTGGGGCTGGTGGAGGAGCAGGCAGAGGCTGACACTGGGATGCAGTGTTTGATATTATGCTGGCTTCAGGAGACTGCTCTGTCTGAGATGCTATGGAGTTCACTCGCTTCTTCAGGTTAGAATTGGAGTCAGAATGCTGTGAAAGCAAAAAAGAAGAGGGAAAAAAGGTGATATTTCAATGTGGTATTCACGTGCCCTCTGAACAGAGAGAAGTTGTGAGACAAGCAGAGAAGAAAGAAAACATAATTCTTATCTCTCTTGCTGTGCTGAAGTGGAATGCAATATTGAGATTGTTTACCCAAAATGAGGATGTTTTGTTCCCTTGGCCTATCAGGGCCAAGTGTGTATGTGAGTCTGGACTGTCACAAGACAGCCACGAGAGAATTGAGATGAGTGCAGTGTGTGCAGCTGTGAGCAAGGGTGAGTGCAAGGCAGATTCAGTTAGATGCAATGTATATAGTACAGAATAATAAAGTATTTAGTCTTCTGATGATGGAGTCAGATGCCTCGTCATTTTCTCTCCCTCACACGTCTGAGCCTCCCGTGCATCAATATTTGCATACAGAGTCTTAGGTTTTGTGATCTTTAGACTTCTTTCCACCTTTTAACTGAACTTTCTGATTTTATTGTTGCTTCTCTACTATAGTGCAATCTCAGAAAATCACAAAAATAATGCATCTGTACAGAAGGATATATATTTTATGGCCTAAAGCTTGGTTGTAAAGCCATGAAAGAATATGTGCTTTTCACATTGTTAACATTGTGATAAGTGGAAGCTCCAAGAGAGAAAAAGAGAAGATGGAGTTAAAAGGAAAAAAGGTAATGGTGTATCTAAATTGTAGTAGGTTGGTATGACTGAAGTTTGTGTAGATATGGATCAAGATTGAACCAAACAGCAATACAGGCTGGCTCAGGTGCAACCTTCCCTGGCTGAACCCATTGATGAGTTTGGTAAACACTGAATGGAGTCAAGCAGTCATGCAAGAACTAGAAAAGTGCTGCACAAAAGGCAATGGACTAACTTTACAGCTGCTGGAGACATGAATGCTGAATTGTCCTCTTGCTTTTTCTAGGATAAAATTTCCTTTTTAAATATATCTCATAATTCCCACAGCACTTCCATGAATACAACTGAAAAGAAATATACTTAGCTGTAATGGGACTATTTTTATTTTCATTTATGGTGAAATGAAACCAAATTACTCCCATATTTTGTGCAGTATTTGCAGCCAGGTCCAATTACTCTTCAGAAAGCTGTATTAAAACTCTTCTGAAAATTCAGCCAGAACTCAGGGACATGTAGAGCTTACCTCTTAGATACTAGGCTAAAATGTATATTAATTTTGTACATCTGTTTTATTTGGGACCACATTGCCATTATTTTACTTTCACAAGAGTGAAAGTGATAGAGTTCTTCCTTCCAGAAATGATTAGGAACAGGATCAACCCCAGCCTAAGCCTGCTCTAATGGATATCAATTCCTCCCTTCCACAGTAGCATCAGATAGGAGGAAATATTCAAAGACCTTGCTGCTCCTGCCATACCCCAGGATGGCCATTTGTGGATGCATGACAGCAGCTCTAAGATTCATCTGATGGCTGAGAAAACACAGAGGGATGCCAAGAGTGACTTTGTTTGTTTGTTTGTTGCTTGTTTTGAGAAAAAGTACTGTAGTGTTCTGTAATATGGAGCTTAAGCCTAAAACGCTGTCCATAAAACTTATTTCCCTGATTATTGCGGAAAAATCTTGCGCACAAAATCACACAACACACGCAGATGTTCTTGGATTTGAATGCAAAGATTTTTCGGTCAGCAGAACGAGGTGACCAAATGACTGAAGCAGATGAGGGAAGTCTTGGACAATGTAAATAACTCCCAAAATAACAGCACATACATCTATGGTAAAATGCAGGACTAACATTGGAATGATTTTAAGGTAGAAAAATGCTATTAGATAGGCAATTTCCAAAGCCATTCATTGGGAGTGATTTAATGACAACCATTCACATAAATGTAGCCTGCTGTCAGCATTTTTGGGATTTATCTTGCAGGATTTCTAAGCATGGGAACAGATTTTAGTCAATCAGATAAATGACTGAGTCACTAAAAGGAAAGGAAGCATTTTCTGATACATTTTCCACTCTTATACTTGGGCCACAATTTCTAGATAACAGACTAACCTAGCACAACTGGTGTCTCCTGCGTGACTTAAAATAGCTGTAACAGGAATTATCCTTCCAGAAGTCATTGTTACTGTCAGAGAATCAGAACAAGTGACATTTCCACAACAGGATGCCAAGTTCTGTTCATGAATGAATGGACTGGTATCCAACTAAAATTAGGGAGAGATGGATTTCTCACAGCTGATTCTAGTCCAAACAAAAGGTGAAGGGTTGAAGTAAGTTTTCCTTACTTCAAAAGGAAAAGTGTACTTTTTCTCTATGTATTTCTCTTACCTACTGCCCTTTTTCTTCCCCTACAACCAATCATCATTTCCAATTTGGTCACTATACATTATATGACTGGTGCCATGCTCTGAAAGGGTATTAAAAATCATTCCTGCTCTGTGCCTATCTGGAACACAGATGTTTCGTTTTGTATTTTGCAGTAACACAGCAAGCAACAGACAGATTTAAATGGAGGATGAGCCACAGATGTGTCACAGAAACAGAAAGAGGGTTATCCATGTCCACTTGCGCTAATCATAATAATAATAATCCCCCTCTCTGAGCAGACTGCCTGGCTGAGACTGCCTGCTTTCACTCAAGTTCTGTTCCATTTGCCTGCATGCTCTGCTTTGAACAGAACTGTACCGGTTGTAAGGTGTCTTGTTTTTTCAATCTTGCTTTTGAATGTCTGTGGAATAACTTGACCTTTTGTGGAGACTGTGTGATTCCTAAAAATACAAGTGTTAAGGTGAATCTTAGTCCTTTTTATCTACAATATTCTGGTACAAGGATGGTCAAATTCTACTCTGGATTATTTAAGCATGAATCAGGAATTACAGTGCTGAGGTGATGGAGTTAATAGTAAATAGAACAGATGTAGTGTATGGTCATTGGATGATGTTTAGTATTGAACATATTTAGAATGTGGAGGTAGGAAAATCTTTGTGATCATTTCAATAAGCACTTGGAAAAGTGTAATCCTGGTCATTACTTTATTTATATTTATTAAATCTCATTCCTATAGAAGGAAGATTGCTAAAGTAGGAGGATTATCTCAATGTGATTTCATCTCAGGAGAAACCCTGTGTAGTTCTTTTCACTGTCTTTAACAGTCCTGTGTCCCCATAACAGCAAACTCAGGGTCAAATCTATTTTCTTCTAAATCCCTACTCAGGATATGGAATTCTAAGTCCAAATTTATCTCAGATGTGTAATGATGTCTCTCAGTATGGGAGTTGTTTGTAGCCCAGACTGCTGCCCCAGAACCACAACTCATATTTTTCATTGGAATTCACTGCTGAACCAAGAACAGGAGGCAGTGAGGAGACCATATAATTCCTTATTACCGTTGTTCTGAACAGCAGCTACAGTAATTTGTCTACTGTATCTAGATTTAACTTCTCCTTTTGACAAAGATTACATACAATAACATCATGAAATGTTAACAAAACAGAGAAAATGGAAATGAATAGCCTATTTTGCATAGCTCCCAGAGCCAATCACTCAAGTGAGGACTGTTTTACAAGCAGCAAGAACAAGAAGCCTGAGGCACAGCACACTCTGTCGTAAGGAAATAATGGATTTTCTGAAGTTACTGAACCTTGATTCACAGGAACTCTTGCACTCATGTGGAATGTTAGTCCCATCAGGCAATTAAACTTGCAGCTCTGTGTGAGGAGGCAGTGACACAGAGCAGATTGCCAGTCCATTGTTTAATGTGAGACACCACCACACTGCACTAGGCAGCACTGGTATGTAGATGGCCTGTAAGGTACAGCCAAGCTATCCCACCCCGTGGAAAGCTCACAAAGCACTCTCCTCCTGTCTATAAAGCTCTGCTGTCTCACAACTCTCCTCAATATCACTAGAAATTGCTTATACTCAGAATATCTCAGGAGGCTTTCACCAAATTTCTTTCCTTCCAGATCTGAAAAAATACAGCATACATAACCTTGGAGCAAATAAAATTCTTTGTCTGCTCTTTCTGATTCTTTTGCTGCATGCTAACTGTGATTTATGAATGCACTTTGTTCTTATGTTTCTTTCCCTCAAGAGATTTCTGTAATTCATATTTGTAGAATTCTCTCCTCTGTTGCTTTGTACTGCAAATGCATATTCTCTGTATCAGTTTAGTTTATGATCTAACAGTAACATCAGTCTCTTATATATGCAACCCAGATACTAACTTTAAAAAAACTAATATCTGTATGTCCTTCCTTATCTCTCTTTTACTCACATCCTTTTTTCCTGCTAGCAATGCAGTAAAAAGAGGTTCATGACAATAATCTCTAAAGGTTTAGATAAAAATAATGTGTTAATTCTTTTCTTCATAATTTATTTGATTAAAGACACTGAACTTTCCTTATATCAAAACACATAATCACACAAACCAACCTAGAACCAGAGCTCAGCGTCTGTAAAAGGCAGAATGCCTAATTAAATATATAACATTTTTTTGCCTCTGCTCATTAATAGATACAGTTTAAGAAATTTCAACCATTACAGACGTAACAGCATGCTAGTGACTTATCTCCCAAAGGGGGAGTTAAACATGTTTTAGCCCCTACATCCACCAGTGTGATCTGCAAAAACTCTCCTTAGCTCTTGAACAAGCCACATGCAGCATCTTCCAGCAGGAAAGTTCATTACACTATGAAACATCATCTTTTGGCCACGTATAAGGAACCTCCTTCAACACAGTCCTGTGCAGTTTCAGTATCCACCTCATGGCACAGATTCATTATAAACCCTAATTTGGACACTTTGAATGTCTCATCTGTGGGATCTGATTAAAAAAAGTCTATTGCAAATAATGCGTGAATAGCTATAAACAGTGTCCTGCACAATCAAAAGCTGAGAGTAGTTTAGAAGTCATTAACAGCCCTAGCTTCAGGCATCTCTTTAGGAATTTTAAATTACCTTTGCTAGAAACACTGAGGAAAAACATGCAGACTTGTTTTCATCATTTTTTACCCTAGTGAAAGGGTTAAATCACTTAGATTAAATTGCTCACTTAGAGCAGGGAAAACCACGCTCAACTTCTTTTTTAACCTCCAGGAAATGAAATTCTTTTCTCTCAGAAGCCTAAACATCAGGTGAAGGTGAGTAAGGGGAGAGGCTGTTACCTATTACATCAAAGCTATTTTACTTTGCATGGAAAAATCTAAAGATCTATATAGGCAGGAAGCATAACTGAAAAATACCCAGTGCCCACTGTATTAAAATTGCTGTCATGTAAAGCAGATATGCAGTCAGGAGTGCACAGACTGGAACCCTGGTCATTCTCTTTTCAAAGGGAATAAGCTATGGTAGAGTTTTTTCCTAACATTTATTTGTAGTATGCCAGAACAAACATGTAATTGGCACAGAGCCTCTCTGCTGTCAAAATATGTTTTTACATTAAACAGATTTAAATTTTCAAAGCCACATTTGGCTCTTAAATCTATCAGTGTCTGCCCATATGTTTTTTTTTCCTATAATTAAATTTACTTGATTTTTCTTACTACTCTCCTGCAAAAAAAAACCAAAAACTGGGATTAGGTCTCAATGTTGTCAGTCAAGACCTTAAAACATATAGCTGTTTTAGAATGATACTTAAAGTGTGGTTGGTGATCCAGTTACACCAGGATACTCATTAAACATAATATATTCTGACATAATTGTAGGAAACTTAATCCTCTATACCATTGACATACAGCTGTTCTGCAGCTGGCTACTTTAAAGGTAATAAGAATCCTTTCCTGCCCAAGCTGTGCTGTTTTGAAACAAGGCTGGAGGGAGAAGGAAGCTCTCCCAGAGGTATTTCACTGCTCTGTGCTGATTTCTGTTAAAACATGAGGACTTTTAGAACATAACTGTGAGCAAGCTGTTACAGGGTGGTAATCTTTTGTCTTTTACATGTAGCCTCTCACATGGAAAGGATGTCTTTTGATCCATGGGGTTACTCCCTGACCATCCCACAAAGCATTACTGCAAATGGTGTGCTCCACACAGTATTCACCAACCCCCTTGCCCTGCAACTTCCAGGACTGGGATCTCCCTGGGAAAAGAAAGCCATCAAAAGGAAACAATGCAACTGATGTAGAAAAGATACATTTGAAATGGATTTAAAAGCTAAATGCCATCATGGTTTTATATGTGTATGTATAAGATGTTTGGTTTTGACGTGCTAAAGCCAGCTTGGCCACCCTATGAGTAAGAACAGGTTTGTGTCAGGGTCCAGATGAATGCTCAGCTTGCTGCCCTCATGTTCTGCAGAGGAACACCCATAGTTTTGTATTTCACACAGGGATTGCCTGCAGCTGATGGAGAGAACATGCCAAATCCTGCTCTCAGTTAACTGAGGTAAATAGAGAGGCTTTCCTGGAGCCAGCCCAGGCCTGCTGGGCTCTCTGCTGAGCACATGGGCACAGCCTCATCTCTCTTGCTGACCCCACCACAGCTCAGTGGCTGCAGCATTTTCTCCTACTTTCATTCTACAGTAGAGCAGAATTTGGAGATCTAACATATTTCTTCTCTGAGTGTACAGGTTTTTTCTCTACATTATGAAAACCTGTGTAACAGACTTTATTTGAATAAAGCAAAATTGTAAATAAAATTAACTAGACTGAAGGGGAAAGAAGGCTCCTTAATATTTTAAATTTTTTGTTTGTTTGTTTTTTTTTTCACAAAACCTTTAATCTGGAATTACAAAAAAGAAAAAGAATATCTTCTGTAGATATGTTTATCTTGACTCTAGCCCTCACTGTAGCAGGATACTGAGCATTAAGCTGCGTGCCTTAAAAATAACTGCTGTAGGACCAGTAATGTTGCTATTGAAGCACAAGGCTCAGTGAGAATGACAGTCCAGAGGAAATGGTCATACACATGCAATTAGCCTGTGTTAAACACACTGTTAGCATTCAAATTAGACACTTCAGGTCTGTGTCATATGAAATTATATCACTGACTGCAGTCTATCTATGGATGTGTCAACATACAAAAGTTCCTTTCCACTTATCTCTACCAAAGGAAAAAAAAGAAAAGGAATGAAAAAAGAAAAGCTTCTTAAAATCTGTTATCCTATAATCACTCCTTTTTCCCAGAATGCCCTTCTGGAAGGGAACCTTTTAAATCCAATTGCTAATTCTTCTAGAAACCTTTTTGACTACATCATCTTGCCCTCAATTTTAAGTACCCTTTGTTTTTATGATCTCACTGAGTTTGCTCTTTGTCTTACTGCAGTTCTCACAGAGAACTGATCCTGGCAGAAAAACGTGGTGGATGTACAGGGCTTGAAAATGGCTGTCTCTTGCCTTGAGCAAGATGAGGTCTCTAGAATTTTGTGGACATTGTGGGCTGTTTTAGAAACTGAATATACTTTGGGGCCTAAATTTTATAGGATTTACCACTCTTCTAAATCTGTATGCTGTCAGCTAGATGTAAATAATTTTCTTGAGCAGATTGTTGCAGGGTGCTTCCTAGATGTGTATTTTATTCCTAGATGATTTCTTTTTTCTTTTGTTGTTTTTTACTTGGAAAACCTAACAAGTTAATATTTACAAAACAGGAAGGAGGGTCTTCAGTTTGCTCTTTGCTTGTTTAAGACTGAAGACCTTGATAAGAAATTTGAGCCTTTTAACTTCTTTATCTTTCATTAATTTGTTCAACAGAAATTTTATGTCTGGTGCCTACCTTGGTCAGCTGTGATTCATAGATCATATAAATTTGGAGGAGCCCTATCATCAGGAGCAAGTTCTTAGCTTATCTGGGCAGGAGAAACAGGAGATAATTTTTGGATGAGTTGTTTTCCTGAGACTGGGAATGTGAGGGCGGTGGCCACAGTGGCTGTGAGTGCACCAGTAGCATGTGCAGACTCAGCCTAAATGTTTTCATATTGCTCAGCAGAGACTTTTCAGGGAAAACAAAATTAGTGGTTTTTGGTTTGTTTTTTCCTTTCTTGTAAACCTCCTTATGGTTAACTCAAACTTGAATAAGGAAGTGTGTGAAAGACAAATACAAGCTGTTGTTCCTCTTCAAGATGTAGTAGCTATCAATATTTTCTTCATGCTATATAAAACCAGGTGAACTTTTTGCTTTTTCTTTTCTGATAGCTTGTCCTCCAAAAAAAGAGTCAGCAAACCTTATCAACTATGATTTTAATAGTTTGAAAGTACTTAAATGTTGTAACTTTAACTGCTATTTATCAGCAAATGTGGAAAAATTACTGTGTGGTGGGTAAGGTGTTGCCTTGGTATGGGCACCTCTTAGATTGACTCTCTTATTCAATTATGGATTCAGAGGTTTTGCAAAAGGTCATTCAAACTGTTATTTCTCTAAAAATGGAAACCATGGTGGTAGTAAAACTGATTTTGAAACAGGAAGGCCACAATGATAAATAGATGAACATATGTTGTGAGACAGCATTCACAATTTAGCATAAGATTTACAGAGTGAAATTTGCAAGCAATTCTGACACAGTTTTTTGATACTAGAAAGATTTCCTCTCTTTCACGTGTACTAAAATCTATCCTTCATTTATGTTTTTTCTCCCCAAAGCTTCCACCAACACAGATTTCAGTAAGGTAAGAGATGCCAAGTTCATGTACAGGCTAATTACCCATCTTCCAAATGGCTCACTTATGGTCTGTACCCTTGCACTACAGTGATCCCATAATCATCTGGCTAACGCACATGTTCATTCCACTGAACACTGTTACACAAATTCTGCAGACTTGCTGGGAACTACAGCTGCCTGCCCACACTGCCTACAGCATTGCTTAGGAGAAGTATCATGGATAACAGTCTAATGGCTTTCCTTAAATATCTTGCCAAATAAACATCTCTCTGGAAAATCATATTGCAAATTTAAATAAACACTACAAATAAATGAAGTATTTTCATTTTCTGGAATCAGAACAATGTCTTTGATAAATAGACACAATCTGGTTACATAATCTGCTTCAGGTTAAGATCACTTTAATATTGTTTTGTATTCACTACTTCAGCTGCCTGTTCCTATATGATGCTTATTATCAGAAAAGCGAGCAATTACCGAGACAATCTCGTCCTCTGCCGGTACAGTTGCTGCTGATAGTGCTGCTGCCAGTGCTGCTGCCCTGGCTGCCTTCCTCATTGCTCTCTGAGCCTGGAGATTGGTGAAGTAGTTGACAGCTGCAAACTCAATAAGTGCAGAGAAGACAAAGGCAAAGCACACGGCTATGAACCAGTCCATGGCGGTGGCATAGGACACCTTGGGCAGAGAATGGCGAGCGCTGATGCTTAAAGTGGTCATTGTGAGGACTGTGGTGATTCCTTGGAAACAAGAGAAAGAAATGGGGGGGCATTAGAACTTGGCTTCTGCCCTGATACTCTTAAATTCACATATATGAAAAAAGCCATTTTGATTTTAGCTGTCATCCTACATCCCAACAAGACTCCTATGTATTTTGTATCCTTAAATAACGCAAGTATACTGGGTTCAGCATCTAAAAGGTCTGGAAAATCTTCCTTGATGCATTGAGGAGACTAAAAGATAACAACATTCTACATGGGACAGCTTCTTAGAATTGTGATAAACATGGCTATAACAAAACCCAGGCTCAAAATATGAAGGAGGTTTTCCTTGGTGGGTTAGTAAGTAGAATGTTTGGCAGAAACCTGGATTCACATATTGTCATTCCCCAACAGTGATCCTCTCTTTCTGCTGTTGTAGCACAAGACAGACCATGGCTTACAGAACCCTCACTAACTCAGTCAAATTCTACATTAGAAACAGCCAGAGCCTGATCCAAGCATTTCAAGTAATAATGCTTTGGTCCACTGAGCTGTTGTCTTTAATCACTGGATACATTTTTTAAGATTCACTAAGAGTATCTTGATTTGAAAGCTCCCCTAGCTACAGACAGGGAAGGACAGAAAAGCTACTTCTCTAGAGCTGCTTATCTATTTTCATAGAGCAAATCTGCTCATGTAGCTCATGGGCCCCATGGTGTTCTTCACATGAATTCATGAATTTATTCTTTCTGTGTTGAAGTGTACAGCATTAATAATGTAGGAAATATACTTACTTCCTACTGCTGCCTGATACAAGCAGAAAATGCAAGAACAAACTCATCATTTACATACAAGCCTCCGTGACTCATATTTACTTATAATTATGCCTGCTAGAATGTAAAAACTGTGGGTATTTAAAGACAGTAAGGTGGAGAATATCCACTTCTATTTTCTGCAGTTAGGAAAGGGTAGGTGGCAAAGTAAAAGATGTTTTAATGTCATATTGTGATGGTCATGTTGAGTTGATGAAGCAATATGCTATGAGTGATGCTCAGAGGAAAGGATGCAGTGTCATAGCATACTGCAGCATCCAGAAAGGGTGACATTATTTTCAGAGTTTCTCTGCAACTCTCACGTGATGTGGCTTGCCAGCTGTCTGAGGTTAACTACATCCCAATGTCATTACTTATCACATTTTAATGAAATACAAACAGGAGATGGTATAGAAATATGTAAGATTCCTACTTCTCCCAAATCTGCCAGACTCATTTTATTATATGAATACAACTATGCTGAGATGTATTTTAATTTCAAAGGTCCAGAGTGAACTCTTTGAAATGATGTGTGATTAGATTAGAATCTGTCTATGTGCTAGTTAGTAATAAAATTGATATATTCTGTATCTGAATAAAAACTTACTGCAGCAGGAATTTAACTTAGGAATAGGTCTCCTATTCTTTTACAGATATAGATAAGAATTCCCTCCATGTGGAGTGAATATTGATGAAATGCTCTGCACTGTGGAAAGCTTGGAAAGCTACTTCATCAAACTGAATACCAAATTGCAGTTGGTAAATTGCACAACTGCTGATTGTTGACCCTTGTCTTTACATTTTGGACACTTCTTGGTAAGTTTTGAAGAATGTGTTACATAATGCAAACACTGAAATCTGATAGCTGGCACCCATTTTGGAGGTAAACAAAGTCCTTAAATTATTTTGTGCTGAAAAACTGGTTTAGGCACATTGTTATTCTGCTACAATTAATTTCTCTTCTCTCTAACTTAGTTTTCAGACTTACAAGTAAAAGTGAAAATTTATCATTTAAGTATTTGCACTATGATGCATTTTAAACCTTCGCCATTTTAGAATTTTCTTTTTCACTGAAAAAGACCAGAAGTCTTTTTTTGTCATAAGGAATTTGCCCTCTTTTTCTTAGATTAAGGTATTCAGAATCCAAGGGATTTTGAACAAGTCAGGACTACAAATTTAGACTGTGCCCCGGGAGAAATACAAATGGAATAAGGATTGAAATATTTTTAAAAATGCTATCATTATTTTCCACAATACAGAAAAGAGTTAATTTTACTCTTTCATAAAATGTTTTCTCAAGTCCATGTTACTCTTCAGTACAACACCTAGCAGCTGTTATTCCAGTATTTGGGGTATTTATATAATTATTACCAAATCAGCTACAGACCTACTTGCACACCTCTTCAGGCATGTACAGTTACCTTCCATGCTCACAAGTATATCTTACTGAAAATGTAGGGGCTTCGCTACAATCCAGAGAAGCAGCATGAAGCCAAATCAGGCAGCATCATATCTGGAGTATAAACCTCAGATATATATGAACCAGGAGACTCAAAGCTTTGAGAGCATTAATTCAAACCACGGAAAGAAAGGAAAAGGCCCTGCCATGCAGTATGGATACATCTTTCTCATTATAACTTCAACCTGTGCTAGGGACATTATTCATCTCACTGATCTTTATCCATCCAAAGCCCTTGTTACCTTCATAACCAAGGGGAAGAGAGCACTCCAGAATGAGTGTTAGAGGGGTACCTTATGTCAGATAACAACTACATTCCATGTTTTGGTTTTTTTTTTGCTTTTAAAGCTTTAACTCATATTGGTTTCATGAGACCATAAATCCATTTTGTTTTTTTTTGCTTTTAAAGCTTTAACTCATATTGGTTTCATGAGACAATAAATCCATAGAGAAAAAATCCTCTTGAAAAAAAAAGACATTTACTTTGAAGTTGTCCCTTTCTGCATACAAAAATACAATTGGAATACAACTGAAAATTGTCACAAACAAGTCTGGCTACCCAAATATTCTGAATCAAGAATTTTGACCCTCATAGGCAAATTGACTATCACTTCACTTTAGTATTTACTTTTGGTGACTGAAACCTACTAGCTGCCTTTCCTAATCCCCCCTGGCTTGCAATATCTGATTGATACAATGGATTCAATACAGTGAATGAAATGAATGACAAAAGGAAAAACACAAATACCAGCCACGGTTCTTGCTGGAACAGATTCTTTGTTAATCCAAAACACAACTTGAGACAAGACGACAGTCATGATGCATGGAATGTATGTCTGAATGAGATAGTAGCCTATTTTCCTTTGCAGATGGAAATAGAGCAGCTGGAGTGAATATTCGCCTAAAACAAACAAGTAATGAAAGGAATGAATGAATGAATGCTGGATGTGATGCTGAGCTCAAAGACCTTAACACAGCATACCAAAAACTGTCCTGGCTGGAACAGACTCCTTGTTAATCCAGAAAGACACCTGAGAAAGAATGACTGTCATAATGCAAGGAGTGTATATCTGTATCATGAAGTAGCCCATCTTCCTTTGCAAGTGGAAATAAACTGTCATGATTACATATTCACCTGTTAAGAGACAAGTATGTCAGCATTATTCTGGCAACATGTGAGTGAACATTATTGGCTTAAACCCAACATAATATGTTCTGATGAAATCACAGACCTCTTAGTGCATAATAAAAATAAGCTGCTTATAAAAAGGTAAAATGACCTTATGGAAACAGAGCAGAATAATATTCATTTTATGCATTGTTTTTACTGGGGTGGAGAAGCAGTGGGCATTCTTAAGAATCTAATGAAAAAAATTTGTGTTTGATGGGACTGGACTGAAAAGCTGTCTTCTAAGAGACACTGGTTAGAGTGATTAGAGTCTGTCCAAGGGTTTTACTTTTTAAAATGGCAAAAGATAATTAATTTCATTATATATGAAAAAACCCTGTAATTTATTATCAAGATGTTCACAACACCAGTAGTTTCCACATGGCTCCATCTTACCTGTGTTAGATTTAATTGTTTCACTAGATACAGTTTGTCCTATGAGGTCATACTGGAGAAGACTGGAAGATTCCTGTGGTACTTCTACTGAATGCAGTGGTCCTTTTTTCCAAGTATAAATTATTTCACTTTTTGGATAAGCATCTGACAAATAGAGGGTAAAATGACCATTACTAATTATGTATTTTATAAGCAATTGAAAAAATAAATATAATAATCCCTTTTGTAGCTCAAATGCCCACAGGAACATGCATCCTACTCCAGTAAGTTCATACTAACCTCATTAATGGAAAAAAAAAACCCAAAAAAAACCAAACCAATAAGAGAATGGCTGAGGTGGGACCTGAGATGAGCTAGCTGTCATTTCTTAATTTGCTATAAAACATACACATTGATTACCACAACTCAACTAAATATTTTCAAAATTGGTTACCACAGACTCCGTATTTTCAAAATTATATGTAATATAGTAAATGTAGCAGAGGTTTTATGGTTCATTGAAGGGCAAACTTTGACTAGCAGAAGTGTAAGAATAATAAACAATAAAACATGCTTCAGCAGTCACCCTTCAGTGAATAAACCCATGTCCATATGAATGGTGTGAGTCTCAGAGAAAAAGGTAAAATTCTAGTATAAAAATACAACTTAAAATTTCAGCTATGTCACTAAGTTATATCTTAGGATCTTCGACCAAATGTGTTACTTTAATAAACTGAAAGATACAGAAAAACTTACAGCTTCCAAATTTCAGTGGACAAGCATGTCCATCCATTGGGAAGTTCACCAAGCGCATAGGACAGTCAGCATTAATGGTTAGTCTAGAACACAGTTGAAGACAATGAAAAAACATGGTATGTAGGAAAATTCTGATAGAATCAAAAATACAGGTCAACCAAAAGCAGAACAAGCTCTCACCTCATAGTGTAAAGAATAGTTCCATTCTGCATAATTCTGAAAAGTTTGTTAGGAGTTGTCATATTGTGAGCAATTGATTTTTTTCCATTTCTAAAAAATGTGTCTGGTGTCCAAATTTTACTGACCATTAAATTGTTCAGTCTCAAAATTTCTGTTGGCCCACTAAACTTCAGCCTCTCATCAGTCCACGTCTGACGAAAGAAGACATCCATTGTGTATTCCTGTGGAAAATAAATAGGGGTTGACATCTGTGTGGGGGTCAGCAGTCCCAAGTGGCTGTGGGGACAGTAACTCCATGAGACAATCTAACACACATGTCAATGGCATTTCATTTACTGCTTAAACACTCAATCCTATTATCATTAAGTAGTTACTAAAAAAGTCATGCATGAAGACATATCCTATTTTCTTATTATTTGAAGAATAGTTACAAATGAAGCAGTGAACAGATAATTGGACATGAGCAAGGAAAAAAAAACGACCCTCATTGTACTCTCATAGATATTAATTCAATGTGACTGAGGTCTATGGAAATACAAATGTGTACCTTTCAAAGTGAAAGACCAAGCTATCAGTGTTTAATTGCCAGAAACAAAAAGACACGCTCAGTGACTCTTCTGCAGCTTCCTTTGGATATTTACAAAGTGAGGACTGATCTGAGTCACATCACAGTAGGATTATGGTGTCAAGTTAATATTAAATTAATGGGACTTTTTTCCAAGAATTCTTAGTAATATTTTCACAAGTCTTCAGAAAAGAGCTCTCTGCAGAAGTTGCTTAGGAAACAGAGCTAAACCTGGCCAGGGGCAAATTTTGTAAGAATGCAAGTTATGCCTTCTCTTTGACTGATGAAGAGCAGTGGAAAACCTTTGGTAGTACTTGCAGCCCACAGTTCCCAGCCTGCAGACTGGATTGCAGGCTCAGGTGAACTGATGTTAGAGGGGTGTAGGGCAAAAATAGCAGCTTAAGTCAACCTCTAGAAAGAGAACAGCAATGCCATCCTCTTCCATGACTTATTGTGTTCCTGGGGGCTACTGCTATAGTTGCCCAAGTCTGAAGCTCCATCTACACAGACTGAGTCCAGCCAAGTCTGTGGCTGCCTGAGTGTGGGGGCACCCAGCATGACCAGGGCAGCTGTGCCAGCAATGTCAGCCGTGCATTCCCCTGCAGCTGCTCATTCGGTTGCCTCCTAGCAGGCAGCGTTCCCCAGAGCTGTGCCGGGACACGGGCGCTCACCATCTTCTTCACAGGGCTCAAGAGGCATCTTTCACCTGTGGCCGTGCCCTCACCTGGGGCTGTGTGCGCCCAGCCCCGCTGGCACGACCGGGAAATAGCTGTATGCAGCTCTGGCCAAACTGCTCTGCTGGGCCCTAGAGATTGTCAAAGAGATTAAGCCTCGTAATCTGCTTTAATGACGGTCAACTCAGATGCCACCGTAATGAATCCCGGGAAAACAGAGCAGGGGCGGCCAGCGGGGCCCTTACCATCTCCACGTCGGACACCGGCCCGAAGCTGGTCACGTAGATGTCCGTCTTGACTTCTGTCACGGCGCCTGCGGGACACGGAGAGGGCTGGGAGAGGAGCGGGGCCGGGCTGCGGGACCCCTGTTCGAGGGCAGCGGAGACGCCCCGCAAGAGCTGCGGGGCACGGGAGCTTTGCTGCTCGCCGGCGCTTTTGGGGTTCCACCGCCTCCCTCCCTCCCTCCTGCCACGGCCGCGGCACGAGCCGCTCCTGCCCGGGGCAGCCGCAGCGCTGCCTCGCCCTTCCCCACCCGCCGGCTCCCCGAGGGACGAGGCTTCCCCGCTACCTCCAAATCCCGGTCGGAGCCTGTTGTCGTAGCCGTCCAACAACTTGTCGAGGATCCGAGTGATGTTTTCCGAGTAGAGGTCCGCCCCGTCGCCCTGGTCCCCCAGCGCCGTCCTCACGCTGCGGGCAGAGGCGAGTCCCCGTCAGTGCCGGCCCGGGGGGCGCAGGGAGGAAGGGCAGAGCCCCTCGCCCGCCCCTCAGGGCTGCGGGGAGCCCTCGGGGGTTGGCGTGGTGGCGGGGGTCACTCACCTCACAGCCACACACGCCCAGGCGAGCAGCAGAGCCATGCCGCAGGTGTGTGCGGGGACGGTCAGTGCCCTCAGACCCGTCAGCTGGAGCCGGTGCCGGCGCTCATCCTTGCCCCGGGGCTCCGCCGGGTGAGCTGTGGCAGAGCCCGGCTGGCTCAGCCCGGTTGGCTCAGCCCCGGCCCCGCGGCCCCGGGCCGGCCTGTGCCCGCGGCAGCTCCGTGAGGGGTGCCCGGGGCGGCTCCGTGAGGGGTGCCCGGGGCGGCTCCGTGAGGGGTGCCCGCGGCCGTGCGCGTCCCTCGGACTCGCCGCCGCCGTCCAGCCTCATCTGACCGCTCCACGGGGGGAATTAGGGTTTGAAGGGACGGTGCGCGGTCGGAGAGCAGTGACAATAATCGAATAAGGCATTAGGGGAGATTAAAAGGAAGAAATCCACTGCTAGTTTTGGCATGGAATTAGCAGGGACCCGTTAGGAAATCTGGAAAAGCGCTGGCATCTTGCTGATAGAGATTATGTTAGAAATGGCCTCAGCTTTTATTATGTTTATGGTTCACAGGGAGATTATTATGCAGCTTCCACATCATTAAAACTTTGGGGGGGGAGGTGAGGGGGGGAACCCTACAGTTTACAATTTACTGGGGGTTTTAACCTTTCTCAACAGTTTTCCTGTTGATCAGTTCTTCAGAATTGTACAGAGATTTCCAGTATCTCAGCGTTGATATCTGGACATTACACACTAAAAGTTGGTTCTGGTTCAGATTTCTACATTTGTTTGTTGGAGTTCGTTCGAGTTTTTTTGTTTGTTTGTTTTTGTTAATACTAAGCTGTTTTGGAGGGTTACACACACAGATTTTGCTCAGACTTTAAACCAAGGCATTACCAGGACTTTTGTTTGAACTGGAACTCCTTACTTTTAAACCACTGGGATTATATATCATTACTAATTTTGTCCTGATAAGTACTGACTGGATCATTACTGCCCCTTCCTTCAGTAAGTGTGTTAATGTAGTCTGCCCTAAAGGAAAAAAGTTCACACTGCTCCAGCTTTCTGTGTGGCCTTATTGCTTCTCGAGAAAACAGTGAATGATGCAACACTTTGTCATTTAGCTACACTGTAAAAAAAGGAATTGGGTCCATTTTCTTTACAGGGTAATACAGAGGGACTAATAAATACACCAGAATAAATTAGTTGTTTTCATAATATTTTGTTGCATAGGCCTCATCTTCTCAGCTCCTAAGAAAACATTTTAATTATCAAGCAATGGAAAAATGTATTTGCATGAAACTAGGAAAATCACATTCAGGAGTAAAAGTAGATTAAGACTGACACTGGAGTTCTGTGCTCAAGTTTTGTGTTTTAGAGAGACTGTGATGCTACAAAACCAAGCGAATTCAATGATGTGATGAAAAATATAAGATATCCTCTGTCACTGATCCCCTTTCCCTTTTGCCATGGGCAGTAATGTGACATAATCCATGTAGGTGGGCTCTGCATTCTGCCAGAGCTCCAGGTCTGCCTTTGAACAGTTGGAAACCTGAGCTCCTGAGAGTCCTGGAAATGCTCTCTGAATACACCAGTGTGAATTCTCTGAATTCACCATGGCCTGGTGTAGCTCAGGATTTTTGGTTGGCATTCAGAACCATTTATCTGCATTCATTTATTCATGGACAATACTACTGCATCTATAAAAAATCAAAGGTTTGTATGAAATACTAAATGGAACAGGGAAAAGAAGAAAAGGAAATGCAACAAATCAGAACCTTCTGGGGATATGTTCTTGTCTCTGGCCTTGATTAAAATCTATCACTTGAAACTTTACCCCATTTTTCATATATGTTTAATCTTAGACATGTGTGAGGTTTTTTGTGTGAACTCTTCTCAGAATATTAAAACTGTACTTAGCATGTAAACATCATTAATATTCATCTTTGTAAATATACTCACATTAATATTAAATATGTAAATACACTTAAAAGTTAAGGGCTCTTGTTAAATTTTCTTTCATTTTTCTGGACCCATTGGATCACTTTATTTACTTCTAAGGGTTCTGTGTTCTGTGTTTTACCTTGCATCTCCTCTTGGCATAATGTTCCGTTCCTTTTTCAGTAAAGGAAAAAAGTCTTGGCAAAATATTAACAGGAGTATTTAAATTTCCTTCACAAAATATGCAAGAAGAGTTAACTTTTTAAAATTAAGCATGTGTGCTGTGTCCCATCAGCATCCTCCAGCTGAATAGAACACATCCAATTTGTCTTCTTTTAAAAGGTTTATTTTTGCAGCTTCTTTTAATAAGCATCTCCTGAGTACTAAAAGGCCAGTGCTACATGGGGCCACCAACCACTCCTTACTTCTTTTACTTCACTTTGTTTTGTTGTGAATTAGGTAAACCTCATTTTCTGTTAATTGCATAAGTGTCAATTACCTTTTGTTCAATAGCACTGTGTTCCAAATTAGACTCCTATTGTGTAAAAACATAAATTATCTGTCTCTTTCACTAAAAGTAGATTGGGATGTGAGTCAGAGACAAAGAATTTTATTTTTTCCCCCTTGGAAATTGGGAGCGTTTAACATATTTGCTTTTTGTACCAGGTTGGGATACATCCCAGGCTGGAATATTCTCTGGACTCCCCTCGTTTTCTGTTATTATCTCACCTCTGAGTCTAGCCCAGCAATTCTGGCATGGCAGGAAGGATCTCTGATGGCAAAGCAGGAAGCTTGGGCAGTGGGCCTCATTCTTTGAATAAGTTGTGTCATTTCAGGATGGGATTTCCCTGCAAGAAAATTACGTGATAATATTCTTCATAAGAAATTTGCAAGTAGAGTCAAAGACATTAAAAAAAATCTTTGAGCCACTCAAAATATTCCAGCCTACCTTCTGAATGCTAAAGCAGCCTTTGCATGGTAAAGGCAGTAGGAGGGGCTTTACTGTCACAGAGCTAGATGGTTTCAGGAGCTGAAAGAGGCTTTGGACAGATTGTTAGATCTAATTTATCTTGAAATTTCTGTTAATGTTTTCTTTGTGTGAATTTGAAACTTTTAAGAGTGAAACAGATATATTCCCCTTCTCAGCAGTTTTGAAATTCTCTGCACCAAGAAGCTGAGTGTTCTTGTGTTTGTTTTCTGTTTATGAAATGTTCATGCTATCAATTGTACAAATTTATCAGAGAAGATCTAACCAGAAAATTCTATTGAGACTGATTATCAAACGAGTTTGAAAATAAGCATATCTGAGAAAATCAGTTGGAACTTAGAATTTATAAGTGAACTGAGCACACTTTAAAAAGGAATAGTGATCATGGAGACAGGAAGAGATGTTTCTTGGTAGACAAAGCTCTCATGAGAATAATGAAAATGTTACAAAAGGCTTGTCAGCAACATATGCTTAGGGCTTTTAATTAAACAAACAATTTGGAAATTTGTTGAGAAAATGACATGAACTGAACAACAGGCTTGAAAAAAAGTGAATGGCAAATTGAGAAGTGTGGTGGCAAGATTACACTTTCCAGCTGCTAATTTTATCACCTTGTAGGGTGTCATTAGCACTGAGATGAAAAATGAGATTTCTGATTCCTTTGGGAATACTGTTGCTGAAAATTAGATCTTTTGCTACAGCTGAAAAATTCTTGAGAAATGTGTTTGTTTTCTTCTTAAAATTGAAGCATTTTGAAATGAAAATAGTCTGACTGAAGTTTCTGTGGCAACTAGGAAGTTAAAATATGACAAATTTGGCACAAAGGCTCACAAGATTGCAATTGATTCTCTCATATTTGCATTTAATCTGATACCTGCTATTTGTTCAGCCCCTGACAGAAATGCATCTCCCATTTCTTTTTGTTCAGCATCTACATACTACATAAGAAGAAATTAGATTTTATGCTGTGGATGTGATTATAAATTAACTCAAAGGTCATAGGGAAACTTTATTTTAAAACTGTCCTTGCTTTGTGGGAAAAGCTTGCATTTCAAGGTCTTGTTGACTTTTCTTTTTACAACGTTTATTTCCCAGTGAATTAATTATTTTTACAGGGAATATACAGAGTTATACAGGGAATACACAGAATTATTTTTACAGGGAATATACAGAGATATAAGGCACATAGTTTTAAGATTGTACAATTCTGTGTAAATTGAATGCCTGCCAGATTGGTATTCCTTCATGCTCATCATGCTGTCAGAGGACAGTGTTTACTCTGTTCACCCTTTCAAATGTTTCCTCTGCCTTCCAAAACCTTCAGGGAGAATGTATGCACATATTGTTACCTGGGCTGCTCACCCCACTCTGCCACAGATAATTCCAAGTGTGGATGAGTCATCTGCTCACAAATTGCCTTATTGGTACCTTGTAACACCAGGAGCTGGCACAGGAGAGAGCAGCTCCCAGAACTAAGGGAACACACTGAGGTAAAGATGCTTCTGCCCTATTTATTCTTGTCCTGTACAAAGCTCCATGACTGTGAAAAAAATTTCTAATTGATACATACCAATTTATGCACCTACAAAGGCATATGCAGACATACATTCTTATTTTTCATATTAAAAGCTTAAACATTTGAGCCTGTTTGCTTAGGAGATTGAACCTGAGTTTGCTTTTATGTCCAGGGAAGTCAGAGGTCCAAATAGACAGAAACCACAGCACTTCAAATCTCAGGTTGACTCTTAGCATTATTCAGTGTGCAGTCTAGCATAAACACCTCAGTAATGGAAAGCAGTTTGCTTTTGGCAGATCTTCTGGTCAGAAAATGAAACAAATTCTTCATTAAGCATTTTTGAAGGATATGGGACAATCGCTGTTCAGTTGTTAGTACTTGTTCCTCCTACCATGCAGATACAAAAATGGCATTTCTAGGTACAGCTGGAACTGGCTGACACTGTGTGTACAAATTGATACAAGTTTTGTGTGGTTTCTTGGTTTTCTTAGTATTTCTGTCCTCATAGGAACTGAATGTTTCTGGGAAATGTGATGTATCCATGAATCATTCCGTTAAAGCTGAGGGCTCTCTCTAGATGCCTACTGAGGCATCTACAAACAACCTAAACCAAA